GCTTTCGGGTATTCTCATAAATTTTGATATTATTTAAATTAAGGAGTACTTTGAATTTTTTCTTTTTTAGTTTAATAAAGTGATTCCAAATTTCTGGAATAATTTATTAAATATTTTAATTTGTATATAATAAATGTTAAAATAGAAAAAAAAAATATTTTCAACATCTTAAGAAATTGAGATTTAAAAGTCAAAAAAGGAAAAAAAAATATAGGCAAGAAAAAAAATTGTCATGCTTCATAGGAAGAATTTAGAATAGATACTCCGTAATTTATTTGACTCACCATTGTTAATTAATAGTTCTAGATTTCTAATTAAGGATATTAAAATCAAATCAAACCAATACCTACAAAAAAAGGGAAACAAATTTAAATATTATAGACATCAAGATAACTTAGAATGCATATCTATTAAAAATATAATTTATGTCACTTTCAAAAAGAAAAAATTATGGGCGGGAATTGCCCAAAATTTTCAAAAAACATTTCCATAAGTAGTAAAATCGAAAATTTGAGTGCGATTGTCATGCTATTTGTTGTTATGTGATTTCTAACAACGATGTAACACGTAATTAGGATGAGAATTATGAATGATTCGGACGTAAAGCATGTAGAAATAACTCAACAATGGCCCCGGTCCGAGGTGAACCGAGGTGAAGAGCCGTGATGGGCTTTTGCGTGTTGCATAATGATGTTTTTTCAATTCGGAGAGAGATCCCCGTACAAATGTCATGGGTTCACTATTTACAGTAATTTTTGGTGGATACATTGGAATCTGTGTACTACTTTTCGGATAAAGTAGCTTTTTGTGGGCGGTTTGGAGCAGTGGGTCCCTCATGAATGATGACGGATCTCGTAGAGTGTGATGGTTGTGCGTAGGCACCTTGTCACCTGCTTAAGGAGGTGACGATCTCGGTTTAAGTAGACCTCTGTAGATGCTGACCACTTCGGTCTTCGGTAGTTCGGTCCGGTTCAGCGCCTGGACCGGTGTGGTGTTAAAATCACGTCGGTTCAATGGTCATCTTTCTCTTAATACGATGTTTGGAACCTCTTAATGGTGTTTTACCGAATCGGACGATAACAGTATTTTTATTTTTTATTTTTTCTTATTGCTATTACATAGTAACATACTCTATGCTTGGATGAATGAATATATCAACTTAGGGGTGTATTTCAAATGATATTTTGAGACTTTTTAATAAGATTTGAGACTTTTTAAGATTTTTAAATTTTAGGAAAATCTTTGAAATCTTAATTCTGGAGGTTGGTTTAAATCCTACCAAATCTTAAAAAAGTATTAACAAATTCAAGTCTCAAATAATAATACACAGAATTTTGTATGACTTTTTAAAATCTCAATTGAATACCCCAATACTTTTAAAAGTTTTAAAAAAAATCTTAACAAATATTGAATACTTCAAGACTTTTAAAAAAATATAAAGAAATCTTTAGAAATCCAAATTTACCCATACTATTTCAAATATATATATATCCATTACACAAGAACATAAAAAATACTTTAAAGTCTTTAACCCATTATTACCTTCAAAAATCCAAAACCTGTAAGATTCCCTCTAATAACATTCCTCTAAGAAATTGCATGCATATCTCATCTATCAGTTATTATTCTTTAATGAAAGTCAAAAGTAAGGCCTGAGTTTTTTTTTTTTTTTTTTTTCCAATAGAATTTCGGGTCACTTTTGACCAGATATATTTTTTTTAAACTTAGAATTTAACTTAAATTTATATCAATGCGACACTGATCAATATAATTAAATTCGTACAGTACCATGTATTACACATATGTTAGTTAATAAATTTATATTTAAAATTTTAAAATAACAATAAAAAATTTGTTTTAATTTTTAAATACTTTTTGGAAAAACTATATTATTAGTTATATTCGAAATGACACCCGTCACTTATAAGAGTTACATCTCATATTATAATAATTTTTAGCTTATATTATATAAGTTGTTTGTAGTTAAATTAAACTACATAATTTTATTTTTCTGAAAAAGTATTAATATATAGTTTTATTATAAATATATATATATATATATATATATATATATATAAATATTTATTTATTCATGTGTACGAAACTCACATTGAAAAATGAACCAAATTTTCTCGGTCAAATCGAAAGTCATCAAGACATGATTAATTTGATATATTACCAAACTTGCCATGAACCGCACCTTATGCTCTGTTTGTAGAGTTCGAGTCTGAGAAATAACAAAAACCACATAGAGTCTAAAGATGATTTTTTATCCTATGGCAAGAGCACTGTGGAAGGTCATGAGTCCCCGGTGCATGGTCAATGACTCACCAATCACCAGGGGTCCGACCCCCCAAGTGGGGAAAGCTGACGGTTACGACCGTCAGCAATTATATATAAGAAATTGATAATAAATAAAAATTTAAATCTACTTATAATTTAAATTAGTAAAATTTCTATAATCTTAAAAGAAAGATGAGGAAAAAAGAAAGATTAGGGAAAAATTTATGACTTATAAACTACGTCTCGAATAAATGATATTAACACAAAACTAATACCATTATAAAGCATCATATATATCATGTGTATTTATGCATATTCTACGGCTAGTTATTTTAAATTTGAAGTTAGACTATATTCCGTTCAAGCCAAATGACAAAACATGAAAATTTATCATATAAGATCTCGAAACATGCGAATCTGCCACTTTGACTAGCACATTCGAGAATTATATAGAATGCCAATCATTTTATTTTCATACTGTAAGAAACGGGGGCAAAACGGGTATGGTCCCACGCACGTGAAGCGCACCAAGGCAGGAAAATCCCAGATGAAGCCCAAGTGAGGTTCCATCCCAAAATAAATTGGTGGAAGGAGAAGTAGCACATTAAATTTATAAATTAGATATGTTTTCTCTATATAAACGATGTGAGACAACTCACAAGTGAATATTCTAATACGCCCCCTCATTTGTGAGTCCTTAATAAGAAAGTTCAAGCCCATATACGAAGTTGGGCGCTCAAGCCCTACTAGCAACAGGTTCCCATAACGGGTACGTGGGGAAAAATGGGTACGTCATCGCACGGTCCCAATATAACCGACTCTGATACCATGTCAGAAACGGGGGCAAAACGGGTGCGGTCCACCGCACGTGAAGCGCACTAAGACATGAAAATCCCAGATGAAGCCCATTAGACTTATAAATTAGATATATTTTCCCTATATATACGATGTGGGACAACTCACAAGTGAATATTTTAATACATACATCACATCAACTTTGATTCACTATTAATCCATTTACATAATTTTAATTACTCATCACTTTCAATCACATGTCTCATACTTTTACAACAAATCAATTTTAATCATTATGTATAAATATATTTTAACAAAAACTCAAATGACATTCAAACATAACTCAATTAACTTTTTCAAAATTAACTATGGTTAACAAACAAATCCAATCAAAACCAAAATAAGTTATATCAGTCACCCACTAAAAGGTCGTGCCATGAGACCGTACCATATTAGAATATATTTTATTCAAAATACTAATATTTCATCTTGTGCACACGTACGAATATATATAAAGTATCATAAGTTATACGCATATGTATAATAATATTAAAATTATAAGTTATACAATGATATTTTCTTATAGTAATCAAAATAAACTATTCAAATGTCATGAATAATGTGATTTTTCTAATTTTGAGGGATCATAGTCGATTAATTAATTAGCTAAAAAATATTACATTCATTATTATAACAATTGATTATAGGATTTTAATTAAGGGGGTTTCACTATACCATTAAATCAGTTAGTTTATTTCAAATAATAATATTTTTCACAATTACTAAATTGAAAAAATTACTTATATATATATATATATTTTTTTTTTTTTTTTTCATGTCACGTTTTGTAATAGGCCACATAAAAAACTAAAAATGCCCAACTAACCTACCCTATGCAGACCTAATAATATCTGTGGAATTTGATTGCAACATTTGGTACTTTTCATCAGCCTTCCTACTTTGAAATTTAGGTAAAATAAAGAAATATAATTTCGACTCATTTCAAATAATTTTACTACTTATTAGTACCATAATTTTGACAAATAATATGAAATTTTAGAAGTTTATTATTTATTTAGTTTGAAAATGGATTTGGTTGGTGAGTGGGAATATCACCAAACCAATTCTGCATTTGGGGGCTGTGAAAGCAAAAAAAATGGGGAAAAAAAATGAGAAAACCATGGCGATTTTTATAATTTCAATATTGTTTTTCAACTTGGACCGGCCGTTAAGTCGACCCGAGACCCGATCGACCCGAAGTCGAAACTGGTCCGGGTAGACTATTTAGACAGGGTAACAATGAACTCGGTCAAAATCGAGCCAACTTGGCCTTGATCCGATCAACCCGGAATTGACTTGAAGGGTCAACCTAGTTGACCCAGTCCTAATATATTTTTTATTTTTTTAATATTTTTTATATAAAATATTAAAATATTTATTTTTATTACTTTGATGTGCAAATTCTATATATAAAATATTTATTTTTATTACTTTTATGTATATTTATATGTTAAAAATACTATATATATATAATTTAAAAAATTTTAAAATTAATTATCTGGTTACCCGGTGACCCAGCGGTTGAACCGATGGCTCGGAGACCTGCCCGGATCTATTTTCGGCCGGATTTAAAAACTATAATTTCACTCTAATTTTCCTCTGCTGCCACCGGCTATATATAGTCACCCTTTTCTCTGCAACTAGTTACTCAGCCACCCATCTTCCCAAAATCTCTCTCCCCCCCTCTCTCTCTCTCTCTCTCTCTGTGTGTGTGTGTTTTCTTGCTTGGACGCCGCTCGCGTAGCGTATTTTCTTGCTTTACTCGCACAAGAAGGAAAAATTTAACAAAAACAAGGGCGGCCCAGTTTGTGATTTCGTTTCAAAAAGCAATCTTTTTTGTCGTAATTGATCTCTTTGGTAAGATGGCCAAGAATGTGGGGATACTTGCCATGGAAATCTACTTTCCTCCCACTTGCATCCACCAGGTAAAAAGCGCCCGCGCCCCCTTTTCCTTGTTGCATTTTTTCCCCCATTGTTTTTCGTTTATGGGGTTTTGTTAGAATCATGTGAGAATGAGTGATGATGTTGGTGGCAAGAAAGATCCAGAACTTTCTTTTTTTACTTGAATTTTAGATTCAATGATGTGGACCCACCTGATGATTTTGAATGCCTGATCCTGTTATCTGCTTTTAGTCTGCATCTGCCTTTTGATTAGAAACTTTTGCTCTTCAGATTCATTGTTCACTGTTTTTTCAATCTTCACATCTGTGATTCTGTGATTTTATATTCTTGTTTACTATCTGTGATTCTGTGTGGCTATTTTGCTTGATCAGAGGAGCGTGTGAAAGTCTGAGAGCAATGGAAATCCTTCACATCAATTATTTGCTTGTTAGATTTGTGTTTTGATGAAAGATTTTGATATGTGTGTTGTAGGAAGTGCTGGAGGCTCATGATGGAGCAAGCAAAGGAAAGTACACAATTGGGCTCGGCCAAGATTGCATGGCGTTCTGTACCGAGGTGGAAGATGTCATTTCTATGAGGTATTCACTTTGTATAAGTATGGTGTGATTGCATCCTCAGTAAATTTGTCCTTGTTCTGTACTGAGGCCGAAGATGTCGTTTTTGTAATACATTTTTTTGAAGGATTAT